TAAATGCGTTGTTTATGCATTTGGCGGCATATGTTCAACGAATGCCCTGAAGTTAGTCAATTTCCTTCTTTTTTTTCTTAATTTGTTTTTTCTAATACAAATTTAATTTATAATCGAGACTCGAATTTGCTCGCTGTATTGATCAATTGACCAAACTCACGTCTTAATATTTTATTGAAATTTTTTTAAAAAATTTTGAACTTTTTGGTTATGCGAAGATCGGGCTTCTAAAAAGATAAGTCTATTTTACTCCTTTGATCGACCCAAAATCCTAATTTTTTAGTCGGCCCAAAACCCAATCCTCAACCCAAAATTTGAGGACGGTAAGTAATGGCCCAACCCAAATTCAAAACCCGACTTTAACATTAGGGTTTCTTCTTCTAATATAAATAGTCGCAAAGCGCTAATATCCAGACCCTCTCAAGATACGATAACTTCTTTTCTCCGCAGCCTTCTTTGCAGAATTAGGGTTTTGAAAGCGAACTTCGTTTCATCGTCACCATGAGAGCCAAGGTAAGAGCTCCATCTCCTTTCCCTGCTTGCGCTTTCTCTTATTCTTTGTTATCCGTTGGTTTATTGATTTGTTTCCTCTTGTTTTGTGGCGTGGGCAGTGGAAGAAGAAGCGCATGAGGAGGTTGAAGAGGAAGCGCCGAAAGATGAGACAGAGATCCAAGTAGTTTTGCCGCCATCCACCATCAATCGACGTCGTCTCTCACCCGATCCCCATGTTTTGTTTTCTAATCAAGTAATCAGTACCGATTAGTCAGCTTGTAGTCGTTGTGTACTTTTGTGATTCTCTCAGTTTGAACAATTTTTGCTTAATTTCAGTCAGCTTTCAAACCATATTATGAGCTTTAAAATAACTGATTTTCTATCTGAGCCGTATCGCGATTTTAAATTCTGATGGTGATGATGGATCTCTCTTATATATGCGTTGATGATTTAAAATATTGTGTCCCGAGTTAGAATATACTAGTTGATGAATGTTCTGTTGCGATAGATGCGAGAGGGAAATGTTTTATTTACTGGTGTTGTAGGCTAGTGTGAGAAATGAACTGTTCAGATATCGCTGTCTAATTGCAAGGTAGAGATGAATTTTTAGGACTTTGATATTAGTACTTGGGCGCCATGGAAGGTGATCTATGTGTGGGGCGAATGCCTAGCCCTTGTTGAGTAGATATGGTGTTTCATGTGGCGATTGCCTTCCTAGCCTTGTTGAGTAGGCATGGTTTGTGTTCTAGGATGAATGACTTGGCTTCATTTGGACTTGTTTGCTTTGTAAGTTGATTGAAGTCAATTACGATAGTGGGTACTTATATTTTGGATAGGTTGATTGAATTCTGTAATCGAAGTTTTGGATTGGGTTGGACATGATTCTGTCATCGGAACTGAAAGAGGTGTTTTTGGTATGTATGATAGAAAGCGTCAGTCTTGGTTAGGTTGTTTTCACCAGTGTGTGTGGCTTGGGATGGTGTATAGTTAAGACTATGGTAATAAGCACAAGCATGCGTTTTTGTATGAGAAATAGGTGTCCTGTAAAATTTCCATGATCTTCCACTTTTGGTTTGTGCAATGCTATATAATACATGCCTTGCTAGCAGTTCTTGCTTGGTAAGGTGTACTATGTATAATATGAGTTTTAATCTGTGTGTTGAATAGCTAGTTAGACGGCACTCGTTATTGCAATTCTGTTCTGTTTTACTCTTAAACGGAGGTGGAATGGAAGACATGCGAACGGTTTTGTTTACCTTCCGAAAGCGATTATATCCTCCGCATAAGAAATGGAACTACATGCTCTGGTTGAAGGAAAAGTTACAAATCGTCAACTTTATGTGTTTCCATATTGATATGCCTACAACAACGCCATATGCAAATACACACTGAAAACCCTGAACAGAATATGTGGTTAATCTTTGTTGTGTCCGCAAAGTATGTTTGCATTGCCTGCGGATTATTGCATCCTTAAGATTTCAATCAATGTCCTCGGACGGTTTTAATTTTGTTGGTCGATTGGAGTACTCATTTTCTTTTTGCTATCCTATCGTGATTCGATCGCAAATAAAACTTGGGCAGATTGCTAAACTGAAACCCAAGTAGTAAGAGTTGGTAACTAACATCTGATGATGATGCTGATGCATATGAAGATTTCCAAGTTCACGCCTATTATGAAAGTGAGAATTCACAACCCAACAGAGACCAAAAGATAATGAAAGAAGAAAATATTCAAGCGTTACGGATCATTTTGGAGCGCTGCTGACTGAAGCCCAAACGACGTGGGACCATCCTCGGCCCGTAAGCTATCAACGTAATTCCTCACCTCCTGGGCTATCATCCTCTGCATGATCGTCAGCAAACACTTGTCTTCCATCTCCACAGCACATTTCCCCTCGTCATCATGATCCTCGCTCTTCAAAACGACCTCGTTTTCCTCCTTCTCGCCAGGTGGCGACAGCGTCAGCGACGTCTCTACCACCCCGTCCCCTCCCACGTCCGCTTTAAAGCTGTCGGGCTCCGGCGACACCCTCAGGCACTGCCGCTTCATGCCCGGCTCGTACCTGATCGGCGCGGCCGAGTTGGAATCGGACGACGCGGACGACAACTCGGCTAGTTGGCGACGACGCCGTAGCGTGGAGTTCCAGTGGTTCTTGATGGCATTATCTGTTCGGCCGGGGAGGAGGCGGGCGATGGTGGCCCACTTGTTGCCGTGGAGGGCGTGGGCCCGGACGATAATGTTGTCCTCTTGCTGCGTAAAGGACTTGTGCTGGACGGTGGGGCTGAGCTGGTTGCACCACCGGAGGCGGCAGGACTTGCCGGAGCGGCCGGGGATGCCGGTGCTGATGAGGGACCAGTTGCGTGGGCCGTGCTGGGCAACCAGCTTGATGAGCGTGGAGTCCTCTTGTGGGCTCCACGACCCCTTCACTCGATCCTCATCACTGTTGGTCACGCTCATGATGATCATCATACGACGATGATGATCAGAGGGGGAGAGAGAGAGAGAGGAGAAATGGATTGTGTGAATTTGAGAATGGGAAGGGAGAGAGGGGGGGTTGAAGAGTGTTTTTAACCGTTTGAATGGGGGGTTGGCGACATGCATGAACCGTAAAACCGCTCTGATTCACATAACAGAAATTAACTTGAAACGCGTTTCTTTCCTTTCTGTTTTTTGTTTTTTAATTTTATTTTGTACGATAATATTATTATTAAGCCTCTGGGAATGCTGGGTTTTTTTGTTGTTGTCAAACTTGTCTGGGTTTAAGAAGTAGGAGGTTATAACTTCCATCGAGACTGATGGTTGTTGTCAAACTTCTCTTTTGATTATAGAGCTCAATTCTCTAGATCAATCTGATCCGTCAGGACTGATGACTTCGATTTGAGATGGATGGTGATGATGGTACACACACACGTAAGAATTAACAGAAAAAAGAAAAAGAAAAAAAAAGAGTAAGGGCAGTTTGTTGAATGTAGAGTAGGATAGTGTAGTGTGGTGTGGGATGAGAAAGAGAGGGAAGTGGGTAACGGCTATCCGTTTCTTAGTGGTGAACTGTGGAACCGAGATTAGGGGTGGATAATATGGTTATGTAATGGATCCGTTTGTTAAACAGTTAAAAAGTAAACTATATTATTATTATTAACTCACCTTCTGGAGTAAATTACGATGGAAAAAGAAAGTTGGTAGACAAGTTTAATTCTACAACATGACATCAATTCCAACTACTACACTCGAAGGCATCGAATTCAAAGTTTGTGACCAAAAAAGATTGAGGAGAGTTGAAATAAGTAGATGTAGATAACAAAGTGGAGTAGCTAAATGCATTTTTTTATTATTAAGAAATTAGGTATATAATCATTAACATCTCAAACCTCAATTGCGTCAAATTGGAGCAGTAGACTCAAAATGGCACCTTGACAGATTCACCAAAAAGGGGTTATATTGAGGGGTTTAATACAACCGTACAATAATGACTCTGTAATTGATCGGGTGATTATTAGGCCCCGTTTGGTTCATAAAAAAGGAGACTTGGGGATGAGAAATCAATTGCTTTCCCATGTTTGGTAAGGCCAAGCATGAGAAATCGTTTCCTAACCCATGGGAAAGTAAGGGCGAAAGTGAAGCCATCTTCCCAACTTGGGTTTTGTTTTCTCTCTTCATGGGAAAGTTTGGAAAAATGAGCCAATATTAAATAAACATTTTTCATGATAATTTTGTCCCCATTAACAATTACAATAAATCACTAAATGCATTCTTTTTTATATTTGATTTAATATGGGTATAATTGAAAATGTATACAAACTTTGTTTTCCATTCATACTCAAAACAAACATGGGCAAATGTGGGAAAGAAATCTTCCATTTCCCATCTCTTGGGAAATGACACGGGAAATGATTTCCCTTCAAATTCATTCCGTAAACCAAACGAGGCCTTAAGGATTCCGTGTCATTATTGCCTCCCTACTAATGGATATGGACGACCATATAGATACCCATTTAGTGTTTAGCGATGTGGTGGTGCGGTGGTAATTGGGTCCAAGGAGTACCCATTGTCTATCCCTACAATACAAGCACCCTCTTCCTTTTTTGCGTCCAAAGGCGATATAATTTTATTGATAATGTAGGATGAAAACAAGTACCAAAAACAAAAATAAAGCTATGTCTTAGAGGATTAGGCGAACATTTCTACGCATAAAGGTGTAGGGGTCATCGGACTACCTAGGTAGCCTATCTTCACAACCGCAAGCGAGAAAAGGAACCTTGCCACTGTTAGAGCGCTCCACGTCCCCCTAAGATCATACCAGTGAAAAAATTACTTGTTACAATCCTCGTACAAAGCATCAATAATTAAATCTGGTGATTCTTCAAACCAAGTAGTAGTCGATCCATGTGTGAAGCAAAGCATGACAAGCACCCTCTTCTTATTAAGCAATTAGAGATAAACTTAGGCCAAAATAACATAAATGCAATTATTTGTTATCAAATTCCAAAATTGCGTACAATTACAAGATGCCAGCTAATGCAACTTGGCAGAAATAAGCAAAACATCATATATATTTATTGTTCAATCTAATCATGCAAACTTCTCTTCTTCAATATGGTAGGAAGCCACACATGATAAATCACCTCCTGCTCCTTCTTTGTTGTGCCCACAGTTGCCTTATTGCCTTATGCATGCCCCCAAGCTTATAGCTTAATCTCTCCACATGTCAATACAATCCATGATTGAAGCATGCCTCCCAAGGGAAGAACACAAAGAAAAGAATAGAGACTCAATGTACTCTATAAATCACTTGATTCACACACACTTCAAAAAATCTTGGGAACAAAATAAGATCTAATTTGGGTATTGAAATGGCAAGAAAAACCTCTGCCTCTTGCTTCTAATTCGACAGTTTGGTGCCATAGATGATGCGCAAATTTTACTCAAAATCAACTTAAGTGACTGCTTGAGAGTGCTTATGCAGAGAGCCTCATCTTCTTCACCATCTTTACAGAGGACCAAAACGCTTTTGATTCTGCCACCCACACTTGCCATGTCTGCTCTCACTGCTGTCAGCTTTAGGCCTTTGAGCACTTGAATGAGCTCCGAGAACAGTTCTGGCCTGTCATCGCAGCAAACAGATGCCCTTATGACGATACTGCACCTGCTTTTGTTCATATTAATATTGTTGCTGCTGGAGTTTGCAGCAGCCTGAGCAGGATCAGAGTCGATGGTTATTTCATCCATTTCAGTTGGAACCATGAAGGCTTTGCTGACTTCCATTGCTTTTCGCTTTAGATCCTTCACATGATCGATCACACTTCCCAACAGAGCTGCCTTGTCCATCTGTAGAAACGTCGATATGTTATGTTGTTAGACAGTTAATTCTCGAGAACCGAGAATTATTAAGTGATATTGTACTAAGTACCTTGTCGGACTTGGGAATTAGTTTCCTTAGGGTTGCAAGCTGTGCATTGATTCTATCTCTGCGCCTTTTCTCTGCTTGGCTGTGGCTCTTTGAAGCAGTTGCAGCCCTGTCTTCTTCATCAGCACCTTCAGCTGCTGCAGACCAAGAATTTGGGAACCCACAAAACTGGAATTGGGTAGAGCTGGAGGCATGAGGAGGCCATGGAAGTGGAAAGCTGGAAGACTCATTGCTCAGCGCAGCAGAGTTGTAGGGAGCCCAGGTTGCCCCTTGAGGACCAGCACAATAACAATTCTCCATAGCCAAAAACAACCAACACTTCTCTAAAACCTTACTCTCCATCCCCTTTGCCTTTTATCTCACATCAAGATCTACTGTTCATTGCACTAATAATGTGTGATCTCCACACCTTTGATAGTGATCGGTAGTTATCCATAAAACGTTTAACTTGTCAAATGAAATTTGCTTTTGGCCGTATCCGGCTATTCTCAATACGATTTTTATTTGTATTTTGTACTTTTTTTTTTCCTGCTTTTCTTTTGATTCATCAGTAAACAACAAAACCTTAAAGGGCTCTTGGTAATTAGAAAAATCGAAGAATGCTTAATCCACTATATATTTCACTGCATTTGGGTTCACAAAAGGACATAGAGATTTGTCTCACCACATCAACTTTCTAAACCAAAACCAATTTAGAAACATCCTATAGCAAAACTTGCAAAAATCGTAGTAAAATATTGTACGAGAAGATTATGTTATGTTATCAAACGATCAAATATGAAAAATGAAGATGGATCATCAACTTAATAGCAGCTGCTCTGCTGTGCATGCATTGACTTGGTAACAGAGTAGTAGGGAAGATGGATCAACTTAATTTGTGATAAAAACCACGAGAATAAGATTTGTAAAATGCTAATTAATGTTGTAACTTTGTCTAATTTGTCCTCTTTTTTTCCCTCCACCTTTTCTATTTAATTTGGAGTGTGCATTGAGAAGCTTAGAGAGAGGCTTAGAGAGAGGAAATTTTATGATGGTTAATGAGAATTGACTCATATTAGCACAATGCTTTTCAGCCTTTAAATATACAAAGCTCATATTAACCCCTTAAACCAACCATTGTTAGGAAGTTCTAACTTACTCTTAACACAACTTTAACAAGACTAAAGCACACTGCCACATCACCCATAATTCAAGTGAGATACAGCTGCTGGCAGCTGACTTGTGCTTTTTCAGGAACCACTATCAAACCTCACCACTGTGCTTTTTCATCCCCACTAAATCAGGACGATTGTGCAATATTGTTTATGTTTGATAGTTTTTTCTATGTTTGACATGTTATGTTTTCAGATAGCGAACTAGAATTGTTAATTGCTAAATATGTAGAATCGGGTTGAATTTATTGACAATTGTCAAACATAATCTTACTGTCAGATCAGATAATTTCCATGAGATCTCTTAGATCTAGCAAGATTTATTTCTTGTGTGCCTTATTAACCTAACAAGTTGCCACTCATTTTAGTGGCTCGGTTTGTCCTATTTCATGGGTTTTGCTTGTGCTGTACGGCACAAGCAGACAAAAATGCTTCAATGAGAATCAAGGGCCGGATATATAGGGCCCTGATTTCACTCAAACATTGTAACTCACCATAAAGAGGACTTTAAAGATTGATACGACATCTGATCAACCACTTGCTTTGCAGAGTTGCCCATTTTCTCATATGTGTGGTGTTTGTAGCTCCCGTATCTTCTTCTTCCTTCATTTTCTAAAAATCCATATCTCAAACGCAGTCTTTTCGGGTCCCATTTGGTTCAACATATTTGCTTGAATTATATCTACCGTCGGCTGGAGCCATGATAAAAGGTGCCACGTCTAAAGACTAAGAAAATATGAATGGCTCCAGTGGATAGCCCACTTTGGTCTTCTCTCTGGTCATAGATGACAGCAAATTAAATGAGCACGTGTTTGATCATGAGAACAGATGGGTGAGTTCATGCATGTTTGATCCAACTTAAGAAAGCTCATGCTTTAGGTGCTGGCAAGACATTTGGGATGAATCAGATTCTGCCCAAATGAAATGAGCCGCAACTTATGGTTGCGTCTTCCACTAAAATATCTCAAGGTCAATGTAAATTTTGACAGAAATACAAAGTGAAATGGTTTTTCTTTGGTCATTTTCAACAAAGTGAAAGACTTGTTTTTGATGAGATAGGAAACAAAGGGAAGAAGTTCAAGGAATTGAATAGCTGTTACCATATGTTTATCTTCAATGAAGCTACAAAAGTATACGAGCAGTAAATGTTGAATACTCATGATCACGATACAACAAATATTGACCCTGAAAATCTTTGTACATTGACATGTATATCTTGCCTAAAATAATTTCAAATCCTAGTCCTGTGGCTGTGGCTGCGAAGGAGAACTTTGGTACATGGAGGCGTCAAGGTGGCTCGCCCAATGTTGATTCAAATCCACAGTCCATCCCTCAGTTTTCATTGAAATGGATGGCACCAAGTTTCCAAACAACGTAAGTTGTAGCAAACATGACCGTGCTGATAAATACAAATGAGAAGATAATTAGAAACAAATCAGCACCCCCTGGAAAATCCCAAGTTAGGCCCTGCTTTGGCATCCCTCGCTTGCTGTCGTCAAAAATGTTTGTAGGGGCCTCTGGAAGTCCGGATCTTTTCTTCCCACGTTCACTATCTCTGAGAGCATCTAATACATTCTTGCCCCTATCTGATTTTTTAGTTGGCTTTGTTTCAGTGTTATAACGCCTGAGAACCTTGGCTGCCCTCAGTCTCTCCCTAGCTGTTAGCGGCAATCTTTTTGATTTAGACTGCACATTAGGTGACAGAGGTGCGTCCCGCTCCTGGCTTGAGGAAACTGAAGACCCATTGGAAGGCTCAGAGGTTTGAGTCCCTGACTGATCTAGGACACTAGTTTGGAACTGACTATCGTTGGCAGAAGAACCCAAAGATGAAGAATTCACAATTGGTAATCGGTCATCAGAAGGAGAACTTGCAGTATTTCCAGAAGCCTTATCATCGGTCTCTGTGGTAAGACGATTGCTATCAGCAACTGAAAGACATAAGCCCCATCTTTTCTTGCTTATATCCCTCTTTGGCCTAACTGTTCCGAATGAAGATGTGAATTGGGTAGCCGTAAGTATACAAGCTCCAGCAGAAAATTGTGACACGCTCTGGTACTTGGCTTTTAACTTCAAATGGAAAAGAAAAAACTTGTGTAAATTATAGAATCATTTGTTGAACAATCATCTCCAACATAGTTGGAAACAGTCCCTTGAACCGTTCATTAGCAATGAGAGCATGAAACTATTCAGCTATATAGAACACAATTTTTGAAAGGTACAATTAATTTCTAATTTAGATGCATTGAGACATCGTACCAATCATGCAAAAAAGTAGAAAGCATATCAATGATTAAGTCTAACTAAGAGTGAAGCTAAGTACTTCTCCTTTCATAAAACAGACCGAAGTTTTGGAAGGTAAACAAAAATTCCCCCTTGAGTTCTGACCATGAAGCTTAAGCAAACAAAAAATCATAAAAGGAGAGGCATAAGTTTTCTTTTCTGAAAAATGAAATCACCATAGGCGCCTTCCTTTCTTCCAGGAAACTTGGGTCAAACAAAAACAAATTTGGCACAATAGTCATCAGTAGGATTAAGTCCTAACAGTCAAAAACCTCAACAGCTAAAAGAAAGCCTTATCCTTGAGCCAAGATTCATCCTTTTAAAGGTCACAACCCAGTTGAATATTATATGTTTCAAAAGAAAAAGATATTGAAGTGGGTATTATCAGTAGTAACTACCAGAAAAACAAAAAACCAGAAGGGGTTGAAAACAAAGAAGAAAAAAATTGGTTCAAGTTGTAGTAATTCGCTATAAACATGCATTCATAGACACAAATTGAACATAGACATCAGACGGAATGGTGCATAAGAGGAGCATGAAATTACCATAGAATTGAAGCCAACTGCCGAGTAGAATGAAACAGCCATTTTCTGGTCGTCTACGGCCCAACCATTGAGAGAGAGAGAGAGAGAGAGAGAGAGAGAGAGAGTTACACACCGTGTGTCTGCGTTGTGGTGCAAGGAAGGAGTGGATGGTCTGTAATCCAAGGAAAGGGGATGAGAATTTGATGGCAACACAGCCCATCCTAGCTCGTGCTTAGCACGCCGCCTTCTTTATTTTTTGTTTTCCAATGTCCCAACGACATGTCGTTTTATAATGAAAAACAATGAAGTAACAACGCGGTCTTTCATTTATTTCATCCAAACTTGAGCGAACTAAAAATCTAATGGCTCAACATTGTCCACATTAACGTTGAAAAGAGAGAAAAAAATAAAAAGAAAAATGGGAAAGAAAAGGCTAAATTGGATGTCTAGAAGAACTGTAAATATGCGAAAGGTAATACAAAGTCGCTCAGAAAACTTGGATTTCTCAACTACATGAAATCATAGACATCAAAATTATAACAATCTGATTAGAGACGGCAGCATAATCTAACTTTTTGAGTTACTGGAAATACTTGGAGTGAAAAAAAAAAAAAAGGTTATAAAACTAAGGGCTGATGAAAGGGCTCTTCTCTATTAAGTTACAAGTATATTGTGATTGATATCAAGTCCACTATTTCTAAGCCTGGGTAAGTATTGCAGAGACGGCAGCTTTGAAACCTTCATAGAATCTTTGCTCAGAATATGTGTCAGCCCGTTTCCTTGCAGCTGCAGCCATCTTGAGCCTCTCTGTTTCTGGCATTTTTATGATACTGAGGATGGCATCTGCATATTCCTCCACGGTGCGGGCAAGAAATCCTGTTTGCTGTCCATCTTCAGGTAAGACAATGTCCATTTTTGGGCCAGCAGAATTATGTGCTGAAACAAGGGAAAACATGAGGAACATCAGCACAGGAAATAATGAATAAGACAAGTTACAGAGTTTGTTGGTTCAGATTCAGATGACAGATAACTTGAGATGCTCACCAATTGGGATGGCTCCTGCAGCCATATACTCCACAACACTTATTCCAAAGTGCTCATCAGTCATTGAATGGATTCCTGCAATGGCTCCTGCCAAAAGTTGCACCAAGTCCCTGTAGACATGAAAACTAACCAAGCTAAGAAAGCAATAACAAATCCAAACAGAGGTCATCAAATTACAAGAATAAAAGATAACCCAACAAGTTCAAAAAAACTTATGTACAAATAGAGAATAGTTCAGATGTTTGCATAAGCATTTGACAAGATTAATTTGATGAGCAAAAAAGGATATAGAACATGAAATCCTTAGCACAGACCTGTACATGACATTTTTATGAAATTCCACATCCCCGTCCACTTTCAATTCAATTGCTTTATCTTTCAAACTTTGTAATCTTTCCTCATCCGACTTATTCCGACAGCTACCCACAAACTGAAGCTTAGGTCTGGGCAAGTGTGCATCTAATTTCCCTATGGCAGCTGCAAAGGCCTCAAGTTGGAGGCCATGTGCCTGAGAAAGAAATAACCAAAGTTCATAAGGACTTGCCAGCAGCCACAAGAAGTAAAGGCCCCACAAATGAGCCGCAAAAATCTTAGTACCTTGTGCTCATAAAGTTTATATGCCCACCTTCTCTGGCCGAAACTGTGCAACAGATATAATTTTCGCCGGTTCCGCTGGCCTCTCCAAAGAAAGCACCTATTCGGGCAGAAACTTGTTAAAAGGCAAATCCAATTGCATATTTGCAGCACATCATTGTCACATTCATAACTCGTAAAACCATGTTCCCAAGTAAAATGCCAAGACACTGGTAACAAACCTGAAGTCCAGAAGTATCACAAGGAGGGTAGACACGCTTAGTCCGTTCCGGGATTTTCCAGAGCTTTTCGATATGGGACTGAGTCCAAGAAGAATTAACCATAGCAAGATGGGCACAAGAGCCTACAGTCCCATACATCCGGCTAAATATATTGTAGTAGATGACTTTGCAGCTGGATAACCAATTGCTACAACGACACAACAAAAGCAATCCATGTTGAGCTTTTTTCGGCTAAACAAATAGCAAAGCATATTATTCATCAATCATTATCAGCAATCAGCACATGTTAATAGCGACGATGAACATACCTCTGAGCAATGAAGTCGTCATTGTTGTACATGGAGCTCCGCTGACGAACACGAGAGAGCATGTCGCAGCTGATTGTAGGGTAATGGGTGTAGCAGATAACTCTGCATCCAAACAGCCTGGCAAGGGGATACGTAAAGGCGTAGCCACTGGTGTCGAGATAGTAAGTAGGAGTGAACTTGGTCAAGGCCTCCCATGCGAGGTAGACAGAGCCAAGGCTCTGCCCAATCATGGTCAAGCGTGGGTACGTGGCTTCCTCGATCCACTTCCTCTTGTTCAAATGCACCACCTTCAAATTCCAACCCAAATTCAAGTTATAAAAAAAAAAAAAAAAACAAATTGAATCTTGATAGAAGACAAAAGTGAGAGAGAGAGAGAGTACCTTAGGTGGGTGAAGGAGTTTGACCCCAAAGCGGTCGAGGGCGCGCGCGGTCAAGGAGAGAGGGGAGGCGTCATGGTCGCCGGTGTAGACGAGGCAGTGGAGGGAGGAGTTTTCATCCTGGATGGCTTTGACGGCGCACCAGAGGACCCTCTCGCCGCCGCCGCCGTCGTTGGTGTAGGGGTGGAAGAAGGCCACCGCTCGTTTTCTGTTGTTTCTGGCGGTGAATATTTGGAGAGAGAATCTGAGGATCAAGGCTGAGAGAGCTGTGATCAGACCCCAAATCACGAATTGGTAAGCCATTCACGTCGATCGATCGTCTTGGGAAATTTGTAGAGAGGCCCGGAAATTGAATGATGAAAAAGGACTCAACTCGATTATTTCGATTTTCTGACTTCGTAACGAGACCCAAAGATAGAACAACACTAAACAGAACGAACACGATGTCGTTTTGGTTTTTGAAGGCGATGAAAGGGCTATATGAAGCCGTGCGGCTATATGCTTGTCATATATTCCAATATTTTAATAGTATCGCCGAATATATTTGGATATTTTAGTTGTACAGCCGTGCGTCTGTACTCTATATGTATCTAAATAGTATAGCCGGTCGGCTATACTAGCTGAATATATTAGAATATTTCAATAGCTATACTATTTGAATATATTCTAATATTTTAATAGTATAGCCGCGCGGCTATACGCTTTTTAATGGTACAACAGCGCTATACTCTATAATTATATTAGAATATTTAAATAATATAGCCGGGCGGCTGTACTCATTGTATATTCGAATATTTTAATAGTACAGCCGTGCAGCCACACCCTAAACTTATGTTTGAATATTCTCTCTCTCTCGCTCTCATCTTCCAATTGGGAGAGAAGATAAATGCATAAAACGTAGCTCTCCAACTCTCCATTATTTGCCAGATGTCACAAATGACAAAACTGGGAAACAGAAGGCACGAGATTTGGTAACAGTAAAACCGAACTCCACCTAGGCAGATTTTTCGAACGCATTTCTTTTCTCTTTTTCAAAAATTTATATTATTTATTATCCTTTCGCCTCTCACATTGCACCTAAAGCAATGGCAAGCGGATTTGGGACTTAAACGTTGAATAGGTTTGAGAAGAAGAACGGGCTAGTGATATGATAAGCAGAAGACAAGATATGATAATTTCAAAATCTTAAAAGATAAAACATGAAGGATTAAAAATCAGTCAACAAACTGCACCTTGCAGTTGGAAAACAAATGGTTGCTGCACCAATCAATTTCAAATGGGACATAAATTAAAGAAGAGTGTAAATAAGGCACTTCAAAATTATCAGTGTACTGTTTTGTATTATACTCAGGCAAGTTTGAAAAACGAGAACAATAATACAGAGGAGAAAATTCTAAGCTCGCCCTCAACCAACAGCCAAAAAGAAAAAATGCCTCTGCTACAAAAGAATATTACAAGACGACATATCCACACAACCTATGACACAATTATTTAAGCTGCACCCTTTCAACCCATCAAAAACAAATTAGAAAAATAAAATAAAATAAAAAGGAAATGACGGCATGTAAGCCTTCATAAAATTACACTAAATGGAACGTTCTATCGAATAGGTTGCCCTACTGACTAAAACACCAAATTCAAGATCCAGTTCCACAAGAATAGTTCATCTCAATAGCTACTGCCCATTGGTGGCATGCCAAAAGGTGGCATGCCCATTGGTGGCATTCCTCCCATAGGTGGCGGAGGAGCAAACCCCCCTCCCATACCAGGCATTGGTGGTGCAGGCAAAGCAAGAGGCAGCAACTGAGCATACATGTTCTGCAAACATATTTCATTCAATGAATCATAATGCAAAATGACGTTTAAGCAAAGAAAGCTAAGTCCAGAAGGGGAAATTTGGAACAATTTTTAAGCGAACGTAGGCAAATTGATAGAACACAAAGGCAAAAGTATAGGAGCAATCTCAAAGTGAATACCTGCTGTGCAATAACTTCTTTCTCTTCCTGCTCTTTAGCCTTCACCTCTTTCTGAGCTTCAAGTTTGTCCTTCACTAGTTCATCAACTTTGCCAGTGTATTCACGGATAAACTGCAAAACAGAGAATGTGAAAGATCGCCATTACATAATGTTCAACTGGGTTGAACGTGCTGCTTCTTCCAAGTGCATCGATGAAAGATTCCAATCAAAACCAAACAACTTCAATTTAAAGAAAGTCCAATGAATGCTTAGAAGCAGAATGCTTGGCACCACAAACAAAACAGACATCTAATTGACCTTTAACAAACAAGAAAGTTCAGGACAAGATTTTAAAAAATTACCTGTAGCAAATATGGGAAAGCAAAGTCAATCATGTTGTTCATCCAAGCAAGTTCAAGGACAACATCTGCCCTAATCAAATCGTAACAGACAAACAGGCATGATGCAAAGCATTCTTTCTTTCCCTGCAATTTGAACAAAAAAATAAACATTTATTAACCCTAATAATATTAAAATAAAAACAATAAGTGAATTTTCTTTTTTCTTTCAAAGAGCTCCTTACCTGTTCAATGAAATAAACAAGCAACTCCTCTGCAAGTTCACGGTCACCAGACTGTGAGGCTGTCTCCATGGCATCTTTGTAAAGTTTGTCCTTCTTTGACAATCCAATGGACTGCTTCCACCTTCCAGCTTTCTTGTAAATATAAGCAGCAACACGTCTCATTTCCAGAAGCTCGTGTTTCTCAATCTGACCAAACAAACAGTTTAAGGCTATTGAACATAAACACAGTAAACAAAGAGCGAACTACAAATAGAAAGCATTTCACCTTTTGAGCAAGGCCTATTTGGTCAAAGCTATCATGCAAATCAATTGATTCACGCAATCTTTCATAATCTTCCTCCTCAACATATATCGCATTCAAAGCCTCATTAACAGCAGAGACATTGTTGCTCTGAACTGCAACCATGTATGGCTTCACAAGAAGCAGGTGACCAGCCTAACATATTCAAATGCAAAAGAATCTCAACATAAGAGCCATGGAAATGAAATTCGTTATCAATACTTTCAGTAAAAAAAATGTTGGATTGGGGAGGGGCACTAAGAATCTAAGCTGCCAGTAAATACATGCACAATCAATTACCTTCCGCATAATGTCAACCACACGTGTATGATCTACACGAAGTGCGAGCACATTTAGAAGATCGTTAATGAGATCTGGATGCTCTTGCAAGTAGAAGTGCACAGCCTTATAATATAGCTCCACATTAGCAACTTTAACTGCAACATCTTTGAACTGCATGTGATCCCAGGCTTCAGGGGAATGATTCATGATGGTAGTTGCAGCATTATCAAACTCATCATATTGAATATACAGATAGGTAAGCTCCTTCCAATGTTGCTGCTCATCACAAGCTCGTATAAGCTTGGGAATATTTAGACGATTTGCAAACAATTTGATGTGCTCCATAAGTTTCTCCGGACGATATCTAGCATATAGAACCCCCAACTCAGTAAAGATTCCCATGTGAGCACGTTCTAACCCTAGACCACTCTCCATTAGAGATATTAGCTCGTTGAAGCATCCTCTATTCTGATAGTATTCACTGACCTCTTCCAAATCATCCACCTGTAAAATTTAAAGCAGCGCACAAATTCAGTGAGAACTGTATAAAAAATGAGCAAATACTCAAAGAGGAACAAGATTTCGAAGCTCAGGCATTAAACAACTTAAACAAATACTTTTCTTTACTCATGAAAGGTCTGCTCTTTTAGACATCCAAAGAATCCATGCAACAAAATCTAGATTGACATATGAGAAGTAGATGCAGCAAATCACCTGTATAATAATGTTGAGGCCACAAATCTGAGCTAAGCGGAACTCCTCAGCATCAACACAAGCAAAGCAAACCTCCTTCCATGTCTTTGCACTGTTGGCTTTTCGTGCTGCATCAACAGCACCTTGGAATTGTTTGAGCTTCACTAGAGTTATTGCCAACTTGGCCCAGTTAGATATAAAAGCAAATATTATTTTTGCAGCCTCATAGAGGGCCTCGTCGTATAGGCGATCACCAACATTTTGGAGATTAGCAACATTAGGCATAAGAATAAACTCTTCAATGTCAGCAAGCCTATCAATCTTTGCATATGCATAAATGAGCTCACTGTCCACCTTGGGCTCTCTCGCCTTCTGCCTAACCATCAGAAGGTACCTCACCAAGTCATGGTAGACATCTGCATCCTCAGAAGCACGAATAACATCCAAGAATTGGGTGGCATCATCCGCACGAATGAATGACTCAATTGCATCGCTCACCAGCCCCTCCCGGAGTTGAGCCTTTGCAACCTGGCTCCAAACGGCATCTTCTTCAACACGGAATGCAAACTCCACAGCCCTATCAATGCTTCTGATGTTATCCAGCAAAACGTTAACAGCTTGAACATTCAAGTTAAACTTCTTGAAAATTGCAAATGCTTCCTCATACAGCTGGGCTTCCACAGCTACTTCCCCAACTGCAGGTCCATCAAAGTTATCCAGCCTATTAATATAATCCATAACTCTAGACGGATCTGCCTTGATGGCTGTTAAAATTAGCAAGTTTTGCAGATTGAAGTTGCCACTGAAGGCAGAGTTTTGAAGCACAATCTTTTCAAGAAGTTCAATTAATTCGTGAGGCAAATCAGCAGTCATGAAAGCCTTAACAGCCGCAGACACTTGTTCTGGGCTCTTGCTCTCAGGCAAGGCAGTAGAAACAACTTGATCAATAAGTTGTCTTCTGTACTCATTCTCAGGGTCAAGAACTTTTCCCCAAAGATCTTCATCCATTCTCTCAACCACATATCTGAGACAATGAAGTAGTAAGTAAACCTCCAGGAACCAGAATGAAATGAAATATTTTTAAACAATCAAATACTAAATCACCAACCTTGCTTGCAATTTGAACAAAGAGTTTTTATTTGTGACATTAATAAGTTCATCATCACATTGTCCACGGCGGTAAGCAACAACAGCAAGGGTAGGGTCACGTTTCTCACAATATTTACCAACAACACGTGAATCATAATATGGGTTTGTGGTAAGGAAGTGCTCTGGATTATTGCCGCTATCAATGATGATTTTACCCAAAGCATTGTGAACATGTACGTCTTGGCTTCCCTCACTCACAAGATGCTCCAAGAACTGAGTGAGTAAACGAAGTCGATTCCTAATGAGAGGGGCAAAAAGAAGAAAATTAAGTATGACGAAGAAAAAGAGATGATGGAAGGACATAAATTAGGATACCACCTCTTCTCGCATTCCTCCACAAGGGGCTCCACAGGAAGCAATGAACGGACAGAAAGAATCAAGCCTTTGATAAAATCTTCAGGGCACTCATCATCAAGCAACTGTCCGACAACTAAAGGAGCATTCCCAGGATTCACCTATGCAAAGTGCCAAACATTCTCAATACTAAAAACCCATAGTCATGCACTTTGAAGTGTCAAAGAGGGCTCAAATAGTACCTTTTGAACATAACCTTCAATGTAACGAAGCATGTTGTTCGTGTACAAGTAGTGTGTCAGATCTGGAACAAATCCAAAACGATCACAAACATTAATGAGCGGTCGTGCATCTGGGAGCTTAGCTTCCATTAAGAAGTTCTTTGTTTTCTCAGCGTCATAGAAGTTTGATTCTCTAGTAACTCGCTCCACCTCTTTGATTTGTCCGGTTTTAGCAGCTGCCTCAATGTACTTGAAGTGGATATCAGGATCCTCACTGTCACATTAGGAAAATAAGAATCAAGAATAAACTGGATGTGACATCCACAACAGAAGAAAAAATAGAGAACTTCTCTTCTTGAACAGATTACCTTGAGCTCAGAAACGACCCAAGGAAGAAGTACAACCCTTCATATGACTTGAACTGTTCAAAAAGCTTCATGCATTGATCAACACCCAACTGCTCAGAGTATTCCTTAGCAACCTGTGCAGGTATTAGTTTGCTTCAGTTAAATCTCCAGTTATATTTTTTAACATCACTATATGAAGAAAAAAAAAAGTGTATACCTGTACAATTATCTGAAGGTTGCCTCTTAAATTGACCAATAAAAGATCTTTCATACACTCCAATGCCCATTCTCGTGAAAGAGTGCCAAAAAACTCTACGAGTGACTAGAAGGGAGGAAAAAAAAAAAAAAATTAGTAACAGTACTACAAGTTAATGGTACCAATTTGATGTAGTTAGAGAGGATATCAACCTGTGGCTCTATTGCATGTGTATTCACTATAACACGTTTAATATCAGGCAACTCTGAGTAATGCTGCATCAGAAATAAATTTTTTTTTAAGACAAATGTCATAATTGGAAAATACAGAGGGTAAGAAAAGGAAATAGAACAGCAAGAAGACATCTTACTTGCAGAGCTCGCACATAAAGACCAGCTTTTTCACATAGCTGGGCAATTCGGGGGCGATCATAATGACTGAACATTCCATTGGCTAAAATAGCATCAGCCACATTTGGAAAAGTCACTAAATTGATTTCAAGGACCTGCAAGTATGAAAAAATGTCAACCAGCTGAAAATAGGAAAGTTTAGATATGCATAAATAGCTCTGAGGATAGAAACCTTGGTTTGCAGGAAAGCATGTTCTGGAAGATTTGGCTTCAGAACATCCAATAAAAAGGCGGTCGCCTCACGAATCAGGTTCCTCTAAAATGACGAAGAGAAACAAAAAGCATGTGAGTCTCTTATTCATCTTTTAATATTTCCATAATTTCAAAGGTTTCATATAACTTTCTTTTACGAAAAAACAAAAGAACTTATGCCCTATGATGAACTTTGTTGAGAAATAACAGAACACAAAACACTGAAAATGAAAAGGAGGATACCATATCGTAAACCCTAGTCATAATGTGAATGAACAAACCTGAAGAAAGAGATCAGTTATGGTGTTGTAATCAACTGGACAACCACCTTCCATTTGAGACATCATCAATGCAAAATTAACAGCACCCTACATTCAAAATCACATCAAAACCTGGTTTAGTTTGAACTTTATACAACTCCTTAAAACAAGTTCAAGTTCAACCCAATACAATTGCAAGCCAAATGTACAGAGTGATGTGGGTGTCAACTGAAAAAATACAAATAGAAGAATTTTTTTTTTTTTTCAATGGGACATTCAATGAACAAGGATCAATGTGTAATCTAGTTATGCTTTCGGCTTTCAAGGACTAAAATAGAAAATATAAGCTTGCTGAGTATTGTTTGCATACCTGCGGATCTGCTCGAAGAATTGTTTGCAAAAGGAACAGATAGTCAGGCGTGTAGCCAACCTAAAGCAACCAAGAGAATGGATATCAGACACCAACAGCCATTTACCAAATACGAAAACATTTAGAAACCAATGCTACATAGAAACATTTCCTCACCTGCTTTGAGTAGATCAGTATCTTGTCAAATTCCCTTCGCTCAGCAAAAGCTGCAACAACTTTTGGAGTTGCTCTGGCTTTAATATATATTTTCAAAGCAAGATCATTATCCACAGTCTACAAGAAAAAAATAAACGATTATAACACCAAAAATGTAATAATCCAAAAGATAGCCAAGTTTAAATTCAAATAGCAAAACAAACCTTCACAAGATCTCCCAGTTCCTCACTGCATTCGAGTTTGTCCTCTGCCAACCAGTTCTCCAAAAGATTCTTTTTGTTCTGGTTCACTACAAGACGTGATAATTCCAATGACTCGAACGCATTGAGCTTCCCTCGTGTCAAGAGGGTCCCAAAGTACTGCAACAGAGGTGGGGTTTGCCCAGTTTGGACAGGAACACTCTGCAACACATTGGAGAGACAATAAAACCATGACCGTTAAATTTCATCTAGTTGTAGTCTATCTTAAAAATGCACACAAAAATTGTAACTCTCACCATCTCAAACAAGTGTACATCAAGTCTAAACTTATCAAGCACATTATGTCTTTTTACCAATAGAGTTTTATCTCAATTTGGTCACTATTGCACATTTATTATTCATTCATTTCTCACCAACTTTGAAACAGACAGAAACTTGAATTAGTTATTCTCCTCACCGAGAAAGCATCAATAACATTTCTCATTAATATTCTAAAGCTTAACAAATTCTTATACCAAAACTTATAAGATGTAGCCTCTTAGAGAATACTGCAATCAAGCCATTAAAAAGACATCCCAAATGGCCAAAGGGCATGAACTACTTGAACACAACAAGCTTCATACCCGGAGCTCAATACCAATAAAACAACTAAAAACAATAATACTACATGCATGGTAGACAAATGCAGTACAAATCATCTGAAGTTACGAAAATACTAGCCAATGGAAGAAACATGTACAAGTACAGAAGCGAAATGAAACCTGAAATTTAGCAACTGTATCAGGCGTACGGAGAATTCCTTGTGGGGACTCGGCAGCAAGTTCAGCAGCTTCTTTGTACTTAGTTTGGGCAAACAGTTCTTGGAAACGCTGGACAACCTGTAAGATTCAGGTAGGCACGTCAGCAATTTCACATAGAGGTGATGATACTTTCTCAAATTATGACATACAGGCAAGATAACCAAGCACAGTCAAGTCAACAATAAGCCATAGTGAAATTGTTGACTACCATATAGAATACGGCCTTCTCTCATCTCACCTCCTTTATTCTAAGGACTCTAATAGCTCACTCAAAAGGGTAATAAAAAACAAGACAAACATAATAGATATAAAATCAACATTCCATGAGTAGAAGTAAATACGCTATATGGATAAATTCCCTTTGCCCACTCAACCTTAACAAGCACACCTTATGCGAGCATCCAGTTCAAAAATACTGACTAATCATGACAACTTCAAATTGGATACAACACTGCCTAACATTAACAATCAAATTGTCATTTGAACGATATATTACTTCCATTGAGCAATGATATATGGATCCTAAATTACTCTTAGAGAAAACCTACCACCACTCAAGCTTAACATTGAATAATAATGAATATCTTACAAGATTTTCGGCACCAGGAAGATTTCCTCTTTTGGCCAGATTGACAGCAAGCTCCAAATTGTTTAACTGCAAATTAAAACAAACAAAAAAATCTTAAGCACAACATGCTACTTGGAACACCATAACAAGGAGAAAAATATTTCAAACATACCTGACCGCTGACAAAAGGCACAATAGTTTGTTCATTAATTGTAGCCAACAACACCTGGCCCCGCCTATTAACCGCGTAAAACCCTCCAACTGATGAAGCCTCTGTTGTCAAGAAGATTGGATCCGGACTAATTCTATTTCTGTAAACTGCACTAGCTGTCTCTAAATCATACACAAACAGTAGCCCAAGCTTTGTAATTACATAAATCAAGCTGTACTTGTGAGACATCTGCCAAATTAACAAATTCAGTATTAACATATGTACCGTATTATACAAGATTAGTCAAAATCATTAGTAAATTCAGTACCTGCATGGCAACTGGGAAATCATCAGCAAAATCTGGAGGAAAGAACAGATCTGCTTGTTTCTTCGTAAAAGATGGCTTCCCTGAAGAAGAAAAAAAAAGAAATTCAAACTCACAACATGTTCCTTTAACTTTACAATCATCAAAATACAATACATAAAACAACACATTTTCTATGACTCATACCACTAATTAACTTTATGAGCATGTTAAACTTATTCAAAATTAGATTCTAAGCATATGTAACCAATATCTCCATGACTAATTACCACTAATAATGAAGTACCCTATTTCAATATCCCACTAAACATAATCACCCTTTACAAATGTGTAAGAGATTGTGGGTAAAGAAACAACAAAACATGTGTTTACACAGAACAAGGCAAGTCCAGCTCATTTCATGTACATGTAACTATAATATAATCCTTATATCAACCTGGCTGGGCACCGAGCTCAATAACATGTAACTTTGATGTAATCTGTCCAGCATTCAGGGTCTTAGTGGCAAAAGAAATAAGAGTCGAGGGATTCTCATTCCCTGGAACCTGTTCAAAAGAAATGAAAAAGATCAACAATATTCAAATATACATATATATATGTATATATAGGGTGTGTATATATATATATACACTTTTATGTATATATATAAATACACATATGTAATAACCAATTGTGTGTAGTGCAAGAGTGTAAAGATCAAATACAGAGTAAGAGAATGGGAAAATGAAATTGGCACACCTTGTATTGAGCAAATGATGCAGCATGTGCTTCAAGAGCTTGACTGCGCTGCTGATCCACAGAGAAGAGTTGCAAATTTCCTTTAACCAATTGTGGCCTCTACAAACAAAACAAGACTAAGGATCAGAAGCAGTACAGCATAAAAGTGGCCTTAAAAGAGACGGGTTGTAGATTTTGTCTGACATATTGTAAACTCTACAAACAGAAGAGAAGGAACTCCATAAAAGGAAATGAAAACAAAACTAATATGGAAGCAGAGTTGTTTCACAACATCAATCATTGGCTAACATAGTTGCCACAGTATTGTTTATGAAGCTATACCAAATCTAATCCAAATAAAAGTACAGACATCTTAATACAAAGAAAGATTGACAATTAAAGGGCTGACCACAAACACTCATTAAGCAAGAATAAAGAAAACCGGACTGCACTTGTAGGAACTCAAACAGGGCGACAAAAGACCCAAAGATTTTTGCAGTTTCTGACAATTTTCCTCAGCTGAGAAAAAGAATACTGGAGAACATAAGAAATGAATGCTGGACAGGCATTAATAGACATAACAGCATACCTCCGGAGCACCAGGAGCAATTCCAACCAAAACCAACCACTTCTCAGAAGGATCACAACGGTAATTTATTATCTGATTGTTTGCCAGATTAGCTGTTCGCTCAAACACCTTGACAGGTTCCGACTCCCCTACAAGGACAAACACATAAAGAACAAAAAGAATTAGCAAAACAAGCGAGTTGATATCATAAATTTGAATGTTTCCATGTGACAAAAAGCTGAAGATGTATGATTGGGTTACTCAAATAAGTTGTTTAAGGCATCTTACCTTCAATTGACCAGTGATACACTGTAGTCTGAGTGACTAAACCCAACATCTTTGGGGTTATCCACTTCCAAAAAACAATCTACAAATGAACCAACAGGAAAGGTAAGCTAGATTGTTTAAAACCCGGCAGAAAATGATAAGAACCTGATATTCTCACACAATTTTGAAGAGATGCGAAAAAAATATACTAATTAGTAAACCAATAAAGTGAGTACCTGTTCAGGCATAAGATGTGATTTCAATTTTGCTTTCATCTCAATGTTAAATATTTGAAGGTGATCCTGAGTAGTACCTTGGACTTGGGCTTCAAACAGATTTGACAACACATGAGCAAAAAAATAAATAAATAATAGTGTAGCATTAACAAAAGTATACACTAAAGTCCATAAAGAAAGGTAAGGCGCCGGCAAGTAAAAACCAGTAGGTAAATAAGGTTATGAGCATAACATGTATATGATAATCGCTGCTGGTCCAACTAACTATATGCTGTAGATGAATTAGCAAGATGCATGGTGAGTCTATCAGTCTATGACTAAACTTATTGCAATACTAATCAAGTAAACTATGGGTCAATAAGTTGATGCTGAAACAAAATACTAAACTAAGTGCATCCACAACACATTAAGATCAAAACCAGAACGGTAAGCAAGAGAATTTCTCAACAGAGACAAGGATTTTGGAATGCAAACATGTAATTATAGCATACCTTTCAATGCAAGGATTTTGGAATTTGGATTCATAAGTGCAGAGTCCGCAGTGATTGGCCTCCTCAAAGGTTGCATCGGCATACTCATATCAATAATAACAATACTATTCTGCGGCGAAGTCTCCCGAACACATATGTACTTATCGGATTCCATAGTAACATGTGTGAATGTTATGAATTGTGGATTAATCCCAACGCTCGGAAGCTGCAATCAGATCAGATCACATAAACCCATCAATCACTTTTTTATTTTAGTCAAAACCTCTCAGTAAACAGTTGTTGTGTTCAAAATCATAGTTGCCTAAGTTAGCAATCCCTAGTGAGATAATTATCAGATCTGAACATAGACCACGAATTTTAGACACTTCAGATCCATGTGAAGCTAAAAACCAACTAAGTAAGCTTAAACGATAAATCGAGCAAAGTAATCGACCAAACAGCAACTATTTCAGCTCAAAAAAACAAGTGTAATTTGAAATTGAGCTTAAGTAGCATCGAATCAGAAGATAGAACTGACCGTTAGGGCTTCCTTCATGGTGATCGGAGCGTTCGCGGCCGCCATGGTTGCGCAGATCGACGGCTCGGAAAGGAAGGCTCGGATCTGCGGATGCGATTAGGCCAGCAGTGAACTGAGAGTCCACAGCGAAGAGATGTAAAGATTGAGAGAGAAAGCGTTTCGAACCCTGCGGGGGATTCGAATCGCTGTGAGATCTAGAACAGCAACGAAACCCTTAGACCCGCAAAAGCGAACAAGGGAGAGAGATCTGAGAAAGGGGGTTAGAAGGGAGAGTTTTTTGGGATTTTATAAAATGTGGAATTTTCAAGTGAATTATAACGAGAAGCAGAGATCTCATCCAAGCCACTTCCAGAGCTAAACTATTTAAATAAATAATTAACTCGTCGTCTGAGTAAAAAATAAATAAATATCAATACGTGTTAAAAATGTTCTGTAGTGCTTCGTGTTTTTTTTTTTTTTTTTTCCTTGCCTTGGTTTTATTTTATATTGACGCCGGGTTCTGCGGGTCTGGATTCAACCCGACCTTTATAAACGACTGTTCTAAATTTCTAATGGATAGTAAGGTCTTTTCATTGTGTGATAAATAACTTATTTACAATATATTTGGATTTAAAAGCCATAACATAAATTGTATAGGTTTTATTTTCTACATAAAACTGAAAAATTTTGAATAAAATAATAAAAATGTTGTGTTGCTTAACTTTTAAAAAATTTGACAAATATTTGTTATTCAATCCAAACAATAAAAAAGGTTTCCATTTCTCTTTTATCTTTCTTCTCTTATTTCTACTTTTTTTCAGATAAAATTGTAAAGCACATTACTTTCTGGCTAAGCAAACATGATTCATCAGTTGTTACAAACTTACAAATTTTGCAACATCTTTTTTCAGGACTCGGAAGGGGTTAGAAGTTTAATTAAAAAGTATGAGGCTATATGTGTTTATTAACAACTTCCCCACAAATTTATGTATAGCCCAAGAAAAAAGAAAAAAAAACACTCAGCCCATTAATATATTGTCAACATAATGTATATACAAAATAGGTCTTTTGATCATGGCAGTGTACCCATCTTCTTACATTCGGATTTAAATCTCCCGTACGTTAAATTACCCCTTGATATGAAAACAACTAATTATGCATGTTGGTTTAATACATACTTACAGTTAGGTATGCTCCACACACATATTAACAGACTAAAAATCCACACAACCGGACTAATTACAAGGTGTTGTGCAGTTGGCAAACTACCACCTTCAATGACGAGCTACTTGGTGCCTCAATTGTAGGGGTTCGAAATGCACTTTGTGGCCGAAGGCAAGCTGAACTCTGAGCGAGGATTAATCCCACTCTTCGGATATGGGACACCTCATGATATTTACCAAAAAACTGTTTTGGGCGTGGGAGAATTGTCATACTTCTTTTCTTCGGCCCACATACAATTAAAAACCACAACAAAAGCAGACACAACACAACACAGCCAAAAAGAGCAGCAAAGGCCCCAACACAACAGCAGTCAGCATGGGACTCGTTAGTGTGTAGTAGGCTCATCTTTGGACAAAAACACAAAGCAGATGAAGTGTTGTTTATGTTCATTTTAGCATATAAAATCATAGGTCCTCATAGTTATTCTCGTTGTCATGGTTCTCTATGTAGCATGATTGGCATGAAGAGAAGGGCCCCAGAGATAAGGCTGATGAGCAAAAGACAGGAAGATATAGAAATAAGATTTAATATTTTGGGTGTAAACTTCTTTTAACGTTTTAATTATTCAGCGTTAAAGTCGAAACTTTCGAATCATAACAGTATGATTGCTTTTAATCTTGTGCATTCATGGTATTTCTCTTACTAATGCCGGAAAGAGTTGCAAAGTTCGAATTGAATCTCCCGTGGACACAGAAGAGAAAAGAAAGTATTCGAAAGAGTTCGCGACTAACCATTACAGCGGCTAAGCAGACATAGGCAAATTCACAAAGATCCACAATCCAGTCACAATTCACAATTCACAATTCATATCCACAATCCAGTCACAATTCACTAGGCACATGAAAGCGAAGTGCAAAATAGGACTGTTCATATCCACAATCCAGTCACAATTCACTTGGTACATGAAAGCGAAATGCCAAATAGGACTGGTGGAGACTGCGTCAGGAACCAGGCACAGATCCATTATTGAACAAGTGCGAGCAGAAGAATATAGAATACTAAGCCTGCAGGCTGCAGCTGCCAAACAGGACTGACCTGGTCCAACAGCAAAATAAGACGATGTGCAATAGGAGTTGACTTCAATAAGACAAAGGCAAAACATATTCTCATAATGTAGAACAAAATACAACAATTATAAGACGATAAATTGACACATGGTCAATAATTTGATGATTTATTATTAACTTTGAAAGGGGGAAAATTTACAGTTACAATGATCATGAAATGTGTTTTCTGATACTCTTCCTACTGCTGAGACAAAATCCAAGGGAGCACAAAATTTGTCATTTACTTGACGGTGTGATTTGCCATTCTACACCACAATGGCTTTTCTACCGTGTCATTTCTAAAGCCGCCATCTTTGACAGCAACCAGATACAGAGGACCTCCCAGAAGAATTTGTCTTCCTAGCTTCTTTCTGAAGCTGCAAGCTTGAAAAAACTCACTTGCAGTGGAAGAAAAAGTCGATTGTCATAGTCTGAATTTCCTTTTACCTAAAATCAAATCATGAGACGAAACGACCTAATTGGATTATCATCACACTTGTATCATCCATGGAACCTCTCCCTATTGACAGATCAACAAGCTTCTTACAAGCAGAAAACATCTCTGGCTTATCGGTACCAACGCATAAAGGGCGAACTACATCTACTGCCTCCTGATTGGTAACCTGGAAGAAATGAAAAGTTCATATTTAGATTCAAACAACTTTGATTGAAGTAATGCTTCAAAAGAGAAGAAACATGAAATGAGATTTGTTGTAAAGTTACCTTGTCCCAAAGACCATCGGAAGCTAACACTAAAAACTCGCATTCAGGGTTTATCCTTAAGATTGTAGTCTCCGGTTCTGCTATCACCCATTGCTTAAGTTGTCGATCTCCAATTGCTCTTGAAACAGCAAGAGAACCCTGTATTCTCCAAACCCCACGGCAACAATCTACATAACCACCCTGCAACAGGAAAAATTGCAAAATCCAATAAGTGACAAGGTCCATGATGATCTTCCATTTCAATCTTTATTTAGGTGACAGAAGTAAATTCTCAAGCTCATATGCACAAATTTGAATGCTTACCGTGGTTTCAATCCTAGCTCTTTCGTCTACTCTTGAAGGATGATGATCAGATGTAAGGGCCTCTGCAACACCTCCTCGGCTCATAACGGCACGACAGTCACCAGCATTTGAGACCACAAGGTTGCCCTTTCGCATTAAGGCAGTCACACAGCATGCACCACTCCCAACATTCTCCTTTAAAAAATCGACATCAGTGGTTAGATAACCATCTTTGACTGCTTCCATGATTTTCTCTTCACTTCCGCAGGTCAAACGATCCTTAATGTTTCTATCCATGTTCTTGGCTGCAAATTCGGCTGCTTTTGCCCCTCCATGTCCATCAAACACACCAAAGAAGGCCTGTCACCAGAAAACACATAATCAGCACAAGTTCGCATAGCAAATTCAAAAGAATCCAAAACATAATTCCATATTTTTATGTTTCCCAAATTCTCTAAAACCCCAATTGTTGTTCTCCATCACCAATTCTTTGCATTTATGTATGCTTTATGCTACCATCATTTTAAAAGCGGTCTCTTTGATTATAAATTATAATCACCTTGCTCTCAGCTTAAGCTCAATACCCCACAAAATTTTGAAACAACCTTATCCAAGCTAAACAAAAAATTGAACTTGATGATACATATATCGTAATCTTTTGAAACCGCGGTAAAAAGCAGAGAGCTTCGGACCTTTCTGTTAAAGAAATTCATTTCCATTTCCACAATTCTCTCAGCAAACAAACAGAATTTTGACGAAGCAAAAGAATTACCTGTCTCGAATCATCGCGAAGATCAACAACAGCTGAGTAGCGATCCTCCATAGGACCCCTTCTCCCTCTCTTACAATACACCGAGTAACCATCCTCTTCAACCTCCACCACGTCCACTCTCTCCGTTCCATCAGGCGACTCAACCTTGAAACTCAACGGCGCTACTGGAATATCAATCATCATCGGCCTCTTCCTCTTCAAAGCCAAACCCGAAGGCTCCGTCTTGCAGCCACTTATCACGTGCCTCTGAAACCGAGACTCTAAAGGCGCTGTCGAAGACGAAGATCGTGACGGCGTAGGAGGCGGGCCATGGAGGACTCTAGGGGAAGAACATGAAGAAGGAGAAGATAAAGATGATGATCTGAAAAAGATGGAAGGAATTTTCGACGGTGAGAAAATCGGAGAGTTTGGCGCCACCAAAGCGCAAGGCATTTTGTTTCTCTTTGTATCCTCCCTGTGTCTTCTTTTTTGCCTTTGACTGTATTTCTCTTTGCTTCTCGTCTCTGGTTATGAGTTTATTTCTGTGATTTGGTAGACAGCGGGGGGATTTGTATGCTATTTATAAACCATATGAAGGACGGACGAGGTCTTATATCAGTTATTTGGGAATTGAATTGACTTAAGATTGACGAAAAATAGTTGTTGCATCCGTCACACACCGTGATATAATCAAATAGTATTATCAATTAAATAAAAATAAAATATATTTTATATTAATAAATAATATACATCTTACAATTAATAACATCAGGCATGAGGTTTTCAAAATTGAGATTGAGTCAGACAGTGAGGGAGGTGAGTGCATCACACGCTCCCCTCTTAATAAAGGGCGTGCCTACCGTATCTCTAGAAATATCAAAATTAAACCAACGGAGAAATTTTCTTGTGGAGTGGGTGGTGCTTATTTTAGGACCAGTTTTGTTCAACGGTCAAACACGCCTTTTCGTCTGGTTCGTATTTGTAACACCCTGTCCATATTCGGCGTCCCATCCTTTTCCTTTTTTCTTTTTCTTTTCGAACGGAAATCTTGCAAAGAACAAAAAGAAAAATAGAATTGCACATGGCAGATTTTGATTAGAGGAGGTCGGTGATCAGGGTTTTACGCAGCTCCCCTGTTTCCAGCTACGGGCCATCTGTTCACAACTGCAGTCCACAGTCGGTGGCATGCGCGCCAATATTATAATGGACTATTTTTTTGATTTTTAATTAGTCTAAGGCTTCTATATTTTGAAGTGATATGGTTTATAAACAGAATTTTTCCCTAAAAGTTACACTAAAGTTCGTACTGTATATATAAATATATATTTACAATCGATGTTTGCAATGCTAGAAGAAACCAACAAAGATGCAAAGACACAAATTGAGATTTGCTTTTTAATTATGTCCACAAAAGATCGGCTTCAAATTTTATTTATTATTATTTTTAAATACAAAATATAGTTTAAACTAAAATATATTCCAAGAGATTCAAACCTAACACCACTTATATGCAAGAATCCAGCCATTTTCCATTGAACTAGACCTATAATTAATGCTTCTAATTAATTTTTAAGCACATATGTTAATTAAGTCATATGAAATTAAAAAAAAGTTGCAACCGATCTCATTGTTTTTCTTATTTTCTTTTAGTAGGGGTATGGAAAACGTTTGTGTGTTAAAGCCGTGGATTGACTTTTTGTTTTCTTTTGTGCAGCAGAGAGTGTGGTTTGAGTTTGGACCTTGGACCAGCTGCTACCTTTGATTGTTTGATCATATATTGCAAGCAAAACTTAGTCCAGTCATTCTCAAACCCTTAACGTGGATCATGAGTTTTAATTATGCATGAAAACAACGTTGGTCATGTGTTATACCAAGGGGAACAAATTTTTTTAAAACCAAACAATGTCTTCGTCCATAAACTGTAGCTTAAGTGGTAGTGTACGTGTTAAGTGGTCTCCCTCCACCAATCAGAAAGCAACACGGAGCATAATTAAACACATTAATTAAAACAGCAGCTGAAACACAGTAATGCTTTTTTTCCAATTTTGCGGCTGCTTTCACTCAGTACACACGTGTTACTCAAGCAAGGTTCCACACAGGATGGCGCATTACGTGTCTCTTCATGTAGGCCCTTTGGCCTACGTGTCAAGTATGTCTTTCCATCTATTGACTCCTCACGTACCACGTGTCATTCGATCCCATGCCAAGCCGCTTGGTCCCTTCCCTTTCCATCGTACGTATATATATATTTTCCACCTCTCTTCCGGCAGTTAGTAATACAAACTATGAGAACGCCGCCGTTCGCGATAAGTGTTTACCATCTGCGAATATCCATTTCAAAATAGCACTTTTTGTGAAAAGTAGTTCCAGTAGTAAGAGAAATGTCTTCGCAACAGGAAAGGGCTGAGCCTGACCCCAGGGCTAGGCAGGGCCAGACAGTGGTCCCTAGAGGAACTGGTGGCAAAACTATTGAAGCCCAGGAACACTTTGCTGAAGGTGCGTAAATCTATAAACCTTTCTTGTTTTAACAAGAGCGATATATAAACTATTCTAATGTCCGGAGAGAGAGTTGGTCCAAATTCGTGTGCAAAAGGCGGGCATACTAACGCAAATATATACATGCACGCCTACATGTATGTTTGTGTGCTTTCCTTTTTCTGACTTCTTTGTCTTGTATTCTGTGTTTTCATTATTATTTTGGAATAATGGATGAAATTAGGGAGGAGCAAAGGCGGGCAGACAAGGAAGGAACAGATAGGGCATGAAGGGTACCAGGAGATGGGTCGCAAGGGCGGGCTTAGCACATCCGACGAGCTAGGAGGAGAACTTGCGGCTCGGGAGGGAATTCCCATTGCTGAGTCTAAATACAAAACCAGATCAAGCTCAACATGATCAGTTCTACAGAGCTAGAAGCTACAAGATGATATTTGTATGACAAACTACAGTAAACCCCCCAACTTATAGGGTCATTTATGAGTCCATACCCGATTTTAGGGACATTTATGAATACATACACAACGTCGCAAAAAATTACAGATCGCCCAATCCATTAGCGATTCCGTCATGAAATTCGTTATGTGCATACGTGGCATTTGTGGGACCTTTTTTTTTTTATGACGTGGACTTCCACATGGACAAAAAATTAATAAAAAATTATGTACATGTTAAAAATAATTTTTAAATCATATTAAATTAAAAATTAAAAACCCTACCCAGATTCTCTCTCCCGATTTCTTCCCCCTTCCTCCCAATCTTCCACCTCTGAAAAATCATCTTCACATGGTGTAAACTCCTCATCGTCATCATCATCTTCATCATCGTAATTGTTCCCACCATTGATCTCTCTCTCAAGGTCCTCTCGGCCTTCAATGGCCGACCTTTCACTTCTACACCTTCTCTTCCGGACCCTAAACTCAACCCCAACAAACCAATCGAACCCACTCGCTCTTTAACCCCATAACCCCAATGCAGTCGCCTCCCTTCCCCTGAACCCAAACCCACAAACCCAATTACAGAAAGTCCGAAGCTTTCTCCAAATCGGGCGAATCCGGAGCCGACCGATCAACCCGAACCCTAGAACTTTAGCCCCATGGATGAGATAGGAAACCCATTATCTGTGGTTCGGGCTATGGTTGCAGTTTGCTTGCTTGAAAGGGTGCCCTTTTTGCGGGTTGACTCGTTGGCGATTTTGAGAAAACTTGAGGGCGACCAGAATGCGACTTCGGAGAAGAAGGCAGCGCTGCGAGAGCTCGGAGGAGAATCCGAGGCGATATTGGCGGTTGAGATGGCGTTGAGGTCAATGGTGGAAGAGAATGGTGGCGTTGAGTTGGAGGAGTTTGTGGTGAGTGGAAAGTCGAGAGTTATGGTTTTGGGGATTGACCAGACTCGGCTGATGAAGGAATTGCCTGAAAGCAAGCAGTTTCAGGGTCAAGATTCGAATTTGGTAGATGGGAATGGGAATTTGAATCAGAATCAGAGTCAGCAGCAAGTGGTGACTAATGGGATTGAATCATACAATAGGGGCAAATTTAGCACAACCTCCAAAAATTCAATGACTGAAAGCAATTAAAGAGTCTCCATCTCTGATATTTTCCTTTTCTTTTAATTGGTACTGAAAGCATTTAATTCCGGCTTCAAGGGCAGAAAACCATTTACGAACAACATAATTTCTGGTAATGCTCCTTGTACAAGGGAGGGGGATATTGGAGAAGATGAGTGTTTCTTTGTTTCGGGCTGCCATGGGTGGATGTTGGGGAGGGTTGCGACGGGGGAGGGTGGTGGGTTCTTCTGGGTTTGTTTGTTTGTTGTGGTGGTAGAGGAGGATCAGACAGAGGAGGGTTTGGTGGTAGAGGCTATGGTGGAAGAGAGAGAGAGATGAAAATAATTTAAAAATAATTTAAATAGTAAAATAATTTATTATTATTTTGTTGTCCACGTGGAAGTCCACGTCATCAAAAAAAGGGGTCCCATAAATGCCACGTATGCACATAACGGATTTCATGACAGAATCGCTAACGGAGGGGGCGATCTGTAATTTTTTGCGACGTTGTGTATGTACCCATAAATGTCTCCAAAATCGAGTATGAACTCGTAAATGACCCTATAAGTTGGGGGGTTTACTGTAGTTTGTCCATATTTGTAATATATACAAGTGATGCACGATAATAGTTGTACGTAGCAGATCTTAATGTAGTGTGCATGAGAATAGTTCTACGTAGTAGAGCTTAACAGGGTGTGTGTAGGGTTTTACTAATTAATTTTTTCTCTTTCTTTTACGTAGGTTATCCCTGTAAACGAGCAAATATATATGGAATTTAGGGTTCAGAAATTGAAATAGTTTTAATATCAATTGCAAAACGAGCTATAAAAAAAAGTCAAAATGAATTTGAGTTTTACTTTTTGGAATGGGCTTACGTGACCCATTGGGCTGCTAGCTGAGGATGTGCTTTGTCTGGTTGTGGCTAATAGGCCCAGTATGCTGTTGTCAGAAAAATATAAGACACCACGAAAAGTAATAACGGTCACATAAAACGCACCGCCAGTCTAAATCCTCACTGGAACAAGCTAATCCACGCAACCAAACGCCTAAAAACATTAGGGTTTAAAACTCACTCTCCCCAATTCCCACCCGTTGATTCACCAAACACAGCAAAACGAAAAGAAAAAAAGGGCGGGAGAGACAGTCTTTCACTCCACTGAGCTCCATTTCTCTCACTAAGAAATGTCGTCGTCCTTGGGCGTTCGTCACCTCACAGTGCTCGGCGAGTTCAAGCCCTTTGGCTTAATCGCCGAAGCCGTCGACGGAAAGCCTGCCGATAATGTCACCGACAAGTACGATTACTTCTTGTTCGACCCCGAAACCGTTCGAGAAAGAGACGAAACTGACGAAGCATCGGCCTCCGCGTTGAGCGATCGATGTGATCACGAGCTTTTCATTCGAGGAAATCGGTAATTTATTGCAATTTTTTTCCATTTTCCGAAAATGTGGAATTATGAAATGACTTTATCCGTAATGTTTGTATCAGGATTATATGGTCAACAGGTCCACGAGTCTTTAAGAGGTTCACATTGCCGTCGCCAATAATCATGGTATTCAAATTTGCTTGGATTGCTTCTTTAGACTGATATAATTTTATGTTGAGAACTATTTGTGTGTAAATTCCAGGCTTGCTGGTGTCGTTTGGGTGATATGACCGAAGCTCTTTTATGCGTTTTACAAATTGCTTCTTTAACAATCTACAACACATCAGGTGTGCAAAATTGATTGTAGATAAATTTCTGAAAAATAAAACAAAATCACCTTCCCATTCTCTTAAACTTAATTTTGATATAGTTTATATTTCTGATAAGAAACTTAATGGTAGATAAATTCCTGAAAAACTGAAGAAAAAAAAAATCGTTTGTGTTTTTTGTTTGTTTAATAGGTGAAGTAGTCTCTGTTCCTCTTCCTCGCACCATCAAATCGATATGGCCTCTTCCATTTGGTTTGCTACTTCAGCACGCAGCCGAAGTTAATTCAACTGCACCTGCTTCTTCTTCGTCGTCAAATCCTTTGTTTGGCCTACGAGATCTATCCCGTCCTAGGAGAGAAAGTGGACATAGTCCACAGCATAATGTCAATTCTGTAACTGCACTTGACCATATTGCCAAGGGAGAAGCAATTTCAATGTCCTCACATCTAATTCTGAAAGATCCATTGGAAGAACCTCATGTATGCTACTGGACTTTTTCCTTAGCTTCCTTATTTTCTGTTTTTCCTTTTTCCTTTTTGTTGATGTATGTTTTTTTTAAATCCTCAAAATATTTCAGTTGGCTTATATTGAAGAAAGAGGAAAATTGAACATAATGAAGGAATTTGATGAAACAACTATTTGGACGAGTGATCGGATTCCTCTTATGGCATCTTATAATACAGGTTTCTTAGATGTCTACATTACCGACTCCAATTTGATTTCCCCTTTATTGTATGTTGTGTTATGCTTATATAACGTTGTCACATTTTATGCAGGAAGGATGCAACACTCTGTGTGGGTTGCGGAAACTAGTAATTCTAACCATGAAATGGCAAGTGCTAGTTTATTGGATGCAGTTCCTCCTGGTGTTCTAGCAAAACAATTCTCACTCCGTAGAATATGGCAAGGCAAGGGTGCCCACATGGCAGCTTGTAAGGTGCCTCTTTTTTGTTATTATTTTATTTTAATTTTTGGGCTGGTACCTTACTTAAGTAAATGTGAGTTTCCCTTTTCTTCTGATTTTAACTGTAAAATGTATTCTAGGTTTTTCTAGCAACGGATGATGATGCAGCTCCTATTATTTGTTTTCTTCACCACGAACAAAAAAAGTTGCTGTGTGTAAGGCTTCAAAGTGTTGAGATAAATAATGAGATTCTCTTTGACATTAAACCTGATATGAGCTGGAGCATACCTGCAGTTGCAGCAGCACCTGTGATTGTTACCCGCCCTAGGTATGGTTGCATTTCATGTTTCATTTTCCTTTTTATTTTTATCTCAAGTCTGTTTGAAAATTTTATGGACTTGATTTTCTCCTTTTACTTTTCCAGAGTGAAAGTGGGACTGCTGCCATATTCAGACATGGTTGTTTTGGCTCCTGAAAATGTCCTTCTTCTCTATGTAAGCTATACCAACTTGGTAGCTTATATCCATTGAGTTACTCATAGTTAATAATATTGTTGACACTCTCTGTAATAGTTCAATTAGTACCTGGAATTGGAATTAGAAATTACTTTCGATTCTAGTAGTAATGAATTGATCAATTGAGAAACTATAGTTTTTTTATTTTTTTATAGTTAATAATATTTTTTTTTCTTCTTGTATGAGTGTAACATTTTGTGCAATCAACTTTTTCTGTTTTTGCAGTCAGGGAAGCACTGCCTATGTAGATATATGTTGCCTTGTTGTTTGAGTAAAGGACGATTTTCACATAAGTTAGAGTTTCCAGAAACAACATCTGTTTCCCAGGGCCTGAAGATTATAGGATTGGCTGATGCTGTTGAGGGGCGTATCAATGTTACAGTAAATAATGGGCAGGTAGCTTACATGTTTATTGTTGTCATCCCTTCTTGATTTCCTATGTTTGTTGTTTAAAGTCGAACTGCCGTCCATATGTTTCAATGTAACATGTATTAGTCATTTTCGATATTTGTAGTGACTGCTGATGTCTTTATCAATTTGAGTTACTTGCTATGAAAGCTTTTTTTTATGGACTTGTTTATTCATTGTTGTCCAGATGTTTCGGTGTGTATTACGTAGAAGCCCTGCATCTTCCCTGGCAAATGATTGCATCACAGCTATGGCTGAGGGACTAAGTTCCAATTTCTACAGCCATTTTCTTAGTCTGCTTTGGAAAGATGGTGACTTGGCTTATCTATCAGAAGCTGATTCTAGTGTTCCCTCAGAATGGGACTCTTTTTGTAGCATTATGATGGAAATTTGTGGATCAAGTGCCACTTCTAAAAAGATTTCAAGTCCAATGCCTCAGTCGTCATGGGAGTTTCTTATTCACAGTAAATTTCACAACAA